GATTTTTTTTTTTTTCTTTGATATACTGGGTATTTGTACTTCCTTTGGCCATCGATAAGAGAAAAGCCTCCTCTGGAGCAGCTGCCTCAGTCTGGTAAACCCTGGGAGTTTTTAAAGGAGAGAAGATGGTAATTCAGTCCATAGCTGTAATGGTAACTCCGGTCCATAGTTTTATAGCTAAAACTATAACTGTTGGATGCCCATTTTGGTTTCCTTCTGTATCGCAGATCCCTGCTGCTTCTGTTAGTGTGAACATACTCCAGTATTATTTTCTGTAAACTTGCCAGTAAGAGGATCCTATTATCTTTGTAGATGAGAACATTGGTAGTTGTGCCTGAACCACAGTGAACTTTCTCCCAAAAGAGTTGTATAATGGATTGTGTGATTGTTCAAACACTGCATGGAGTAACAAGGCTGTGGTGCCAAGCATTGTGTAGCTTTCTCATTTGTCCACTCATTCACATACTATCCATGTGTTTTGTTCAGTCTCAGCTGCACAGCCAGTATATTTCTTCTTGGGCCAATATTCTTTTGCTGCCTTGAAACAGCTGCCACCAACTGCAATCACTTCTAGAAAATTAGATGATTTATTGCTCCTAAGCTTCCAGGCAGGAGTTAACCTCTTTCCCACCCCCCCTTTCTTTCTAATATCAAACTAGAGATGCTAGTACACTAGCAACCCTAGAGGATACTGTAAAATTAAGATGGTGACATAGCAACGCAAGTGCTTTCTGCAAAAGTCACTGTACATCCTTTTTAGGGCACTGACAAAGCAGTTGTCTGCTGGGATATCCCAAAGAGCTGGAAGGGAAAGTGGAGCTCCATCACCTGCAGGGCTGATTCAAAGAAGAGGATAACAAGTGGGATACAGAGGCCATCTAAGGGGTTTGGTCCTGCAGCCCAAGTAACAGACACTCTGGCTGTTAGTGCTGAAGATTATAGTTCTCCCCCAATGCCAGCCCAAGCAGGGGTAGTTAAAGCTACAAAGCAAAGGTAGGTAGATAAGTAGGGTCAGAGGGGTGGGCAGGTTGTGGCCGAGTAGATTTTGCAGAGCTGTGGACGCACAAGCCAGGATGAGCAGGAGTCTCTCTGGGTCACATCTGAAGGACACTGGCAGCACTCTCTGTGGGGAGCTCACATGGCATTGGGCCAAGCTCAGAGCAGAAGTGTCAATTCCCCATTTTCAGGAAGTTTCCCCTCTCCCCTCACACCCAGCAAGAACCAAGTGTCTTTTGAATAAGTTTCACTTCTCTCCATCAGTGACCCAGAGTGTCAACAGCAGACCTAGAAAGTGAGACAACAGGAAGAAGGGAGATGGGGACAGGGTCACGGTGACCTGAAGGAGGAAACTGGCAGTAATGCTCAGTGGGAGGGGTTCTGATGAAAGGATCTGATGGTCATGGTTTTCTTTCGCCCTGAGTTTCTCCTGACACTGGTTCCCCAGAGCAGGAATCGGCTTTCATGGAGGCTCAGTCTCTCTGCTTGCCTCATTCACCCCACAATCAGTCCTCATTTGCCCTGTAAAGCTCCAGACCCCTAGTGTTACTAGCGATGAGAAGTCATTGCTAAGCAAGGATTCTTTCTTAGATGTTTTATCCATGGGATAGGGCTGCGCCTATTTTGTGGGGTCACTTCTACTCTTGTCCCTGGTGCCATCCTTTGGGCAGAGGTGTTCACCCAGGGTCAGCTTTCACTTGCACCATAGGTGACTGTGGACACTGCAGACAGCAGCTTCTCCTCCTTCCTAGCCAGGGTTGCACCATTTGCTTTAAAGCTGTGGCTAATGGCAACCTGGCTGCCTATTAATAAATGCAGTGACAATCTTGCTGAGCTTTCCTCTCTTACATGCAGAAAGAAGATATACTCATGATATGGCAGGTGGTTGGACACTCTTCCCTGAGCCCCACTCTAGTGACTTTTAGTGGTTTGACTGTTATCCACAATCCTTAAATTCCTATGTCCCCTCGGGAGAAACCTGCATTTGCCATGGATAAGAACAATGGAAATCTCAGGCCTGCTGCTGTGCCAGAACAAAACTCCCTTAAGTCTTGCAGTTCTCCAGACATGGCTCCTTTAGGACTGGACAATAACAGTGCATGATATTGGCACATCCAGCATTTAGAACCGTCTGGCTTTCAACAGGGCATGTATGCAAAACCTACTTAGTGAGATCTATGGCATGTTTTGAGATGGGTATATCTCACTCCCAATATGATTCCAACAAAGTTACAAATTGTGATATGAGGGGAACATGGAGATGATGTGGGTTGTAATTTAGCCAAGGGTTGTCCAACCTCTGTTATTGCCCCCATAGCATTCCCTTCTAGTCCTCTCTAGTAAGCGTGGAGGATCAGGACTCTGCGACACTCCACACCTTTTCTACATCAACCATTCCTTCTCTACAACCAAAGCTTTTCAGCACAGTTAATGAACCTCTTCTCTACCCATGATCACAGAACAGTAAGGCTGGGAAGGACATTTGGAGGTCAAATCTAGTTCAATCTCCAGCTCAAGGAAGGCTCATCCCTAACTAAACCATCCCGGTCAAGAGCCTGTCTAACCTGCTCTTAATAACTTCTAAGGATGGAGATTCCATCCTTGTGATATGGGTGCCTGTCCCCACAGATGAGTTTGAGATGCACTTTCAAGTTTCAGATTGCTCTGTCTGCTTCTGCTGGATCATCTTGGGTGAGAAAGAGGCTGTGCTCTCAGTCAGTTAATGACAGCTGTCACATGTTGAAGATGGCAAGACTCTCCATGGTGACACACAAATCTTCAAAGCTCCTTGGTTTATAACTCATGGGATTGAGAATTGGATCATCTGCTGTTGGATGGAATCTGCTCATGTAAAATTTCTCTAGTAATAGAAACTTGTAAAGAATAGAAGTCACAGCAGCTGGGAAGAGAGGGACAGTGATTTCTGAGGGAACCGAGTTGGGATGGGATATCCTTAAATGCGATAAGCACTAACCCATCACTAATAGTTGGTGGAAAGCACCATTAAGACAAGAATATTTAGTTGTCATCTTTGCGTTTGTATATCACAAAAATCAGTTTCTTCCCCACCTTAGTCCCAGTCTCCAGTGCAGACGTGATCCCTGAGCTTCCAGCTATGCTCTCACAGGTGGCTGGAGCCTCCCTCACTGCTGTACTCCTTCCCTGGAGAAGAAATGAGCTGGGTGAAGATCACTGTAAGATAAGGGTAAAAAAATGATGCCAATGCCATTAATGACCTGTGGTAGCATTTGGAGGTATTGTCAGGGGTGGTCTACAGCTCAGTGCTCAAGCATTGTTCTACCAGCTTTCAACAAGGAGAAAAGCTGATCTTTGCAGTACCTTTCCTTTCACAGACCGGTTCTAGAGTGGGTTGGGGTGGGCAGGGCAGCAAAGGAGCAGCTAGAAGGAGCCCCAAAACATATAGGGCAACTTTATCCTCTGCCTCAGGATTCAGGGAGGAAACTGCCAGTCCCATCAGAAGTCTTGGGTCCATATCCTGTTTGAGGATTCAGTTCAGCAGCGCGTACAGACAAAATAGCTGGTGCTTGCCAAGTTGCTGGAGAGGACAGAACATTAAACCTGCTTCCTAGTCTTGG